GCGGCGGCCGCAGCACGCTCGGGTGAGTCTCCGCCGCAGATTGGGAATCCCATAGACAGCCTGGGGTCGCTGGGGCTGGGTGCGCAGGCGCGAGCCGCCGCCTCGCCGGGCACCCCTCCCGCTCGCCTCCCCCGCCCCTCGGGCTCCGCAGCCCCNGCGGCCGGGCACTGGCGCATGCTCAGTTGGAGGGGCTCGGCGTTTCCGAGGGTGAACTCCATGTCTCCAGATTTTAGCAGAAACTCGAGAGTAGATAGGAACTGGGCGCCCGGCTGCCCGAGCAGCCGCACCTGGGCGGCGTGAGCGAGGTGACCTGGGGCGAGTCTGGCGGGGAAGGCTGCGGCCGGAGATGCGACCCGGCTGCTTTTCCCGCGGCTCTCAGCCCTAGAAGGCCCCAGCCCAGCCTTTGCCCGGCTGTAGGTGAGGGACAAAGCTGCAGAAATCCCTTTCTCAGGAGGAGGCCTTCCCAGCAACCTGCGAGCCAGCACCTGGGCTCTCCAAGGAGCCCTGAGGGTGGTGACTGCACGGGCCCCGCACCCTAGGTCTCACGCTGCGTGCCGGAGCCCGCCCTGGAGCACCCCAGGGCCCAGGATGGTCCAGGCCCAGAAAGGCCACGGAAAAATGTGTTGAAGGGAGCTGGGTCCCAGGCTTGCCCCGCGTGACCTTGAGCAAATCATGCTAACCATCAACAAACGTTAAATAAGTGCCTTCTGTGTGCACTTAATAAACGCTTACTGAATACAGTGGTACCTTGGCTTTCCACACGTCTCCGATGACGAACATTTCGGGTTACCTATGCCGTAAACCGGAAGTAAATGCTTCGGTTTTCAAACAGGCCTCGGAAGTGGAACATGCCACACGGCTTCCGCTGAGGGCAGGGTCCTGAGGCCCAGCTGTGGGCTGTTTATCCCTAGTTTTCCAACGTTTCAGAGCTCAGAACGGTCTCCGGAACGGATCACGTTGGAAAACCGAGGTACCACTGTATGCTTTTAGTGGGCCGCGCGCGGTGGGGGTGGGGGTGGAGAGGGTGGAGGGGAAGGAATGACTCGCCCTTGGAATTCAGGATTGAGGGCTTGCACTAAGCAATCTTGTAAAACCCCCTTTTTTGTCCTTGAACAATGCCTGTTTGCCAGCCCTCTGCTCCCCACTGGCCTGCCAAAGCCTAGAAGACTTGGCAAAGAGTACTGCCCAGTAAGTGTTTGGTTGCTTCCCTACCAGGAAAAGCAAGGAGAATTCACAGATGTTTCCAACCTGATTGGTTTCCTCAAGTGTGTATGTTTTGTACTTTCGCTCATTTAACTATTATTTACTGACCCCCTTCCTACTGACGAATAGGCACTGTTCTGTGCTTTAGAAGAAATGCAGTGAATAAGACCCCTCCTGAAGTTTACATTGGGGTGGAAATTTTATTTTAAAGGGAGGAAAATTCTGGAGGCACAATGATCACCTTTCTCCTTCAGCAGAGGGCTTTACAATTTGCCAAGCGCCTTCACACACTTTTCACCTCCAGGAAAACTGCTGAGTTAACCTTTTGGTCCTGAGGACACTAAGAGCATCTCCCATGGCCAATAAGCTCTAGACCAGCGATTTTCAACCTTTTCCTTCTCATGGCATATATGAACTAATTACTAAAATTCTGCGGCACATCAAAAAATATATTTTGTTGCTGATATGACCAAAAAATAGGTATAATCTTGATTATTCACACTGGATGGCTGTTGTGTTGCCTGTTGTCACTTTTTTAGTTGACAATCTAAGGGATGAGAGGTCAGTGCCCCTGGCTAAATAGTCAGGTAGTGCATATTTTTAAAATTCCTGAGGCACACTAGCCGGGGCACACCAGCTGAAAATCGCTGCTCTAGACGGACAAGTCTCCTGCCAGGAGAGCTGCTCCAGGCTGCAAACTGGGGTGTCCAGCTTGGAGGAACTTGAGGCTACTTAAGGGAAGACCAGGAGAAACTGCTTCATGAGTCTGTGGCAATCGAAAGCTCCAGCTAAGTGAGCGCCTCAGGCGCTGACGTCCTGGCCTCTGGCAATGTGCAGCGCTGGCGGGCCCAGAGCCCAGCCGCTTGCTCCCCTGGGCCAGACGCCTCGGGAGGGCCGCGCAAAGGAGAAGTCGGCTCCAGGTTCGCGCGCACGCAGCTCTCGGAGGTTCCGCGCCCGGCCCGCTCTCCCGCGCGGTGCTGGTGACCGCGGAAACCCGGAGCGCGGAGCCGCGCGGAGCAGG